ATAATATATTTAAAAAATCGTAAACACGTCACTTACGATTGAAAAAATTTTATATTTACTACTTCATGTCGTTGGCATTTGCATTTCATTTATAAGTTTAAGTTATTTATAAACATTCGCTCTCAAAACTTATTAAAGGTTTATTTGAAAAAACCTTTAATAAGCTTAATATTAAAAATGCTTATTTAACGCTTATTATAGCAAACTTACTTTAAGTTATTTTTAAAAACATTTACTGAAATGCTTGTTGGGTACATATGTATGTACATACTATAAAGAAATGTTATTTACACTTTCTTTGACCTTTTGTGTATTTGCTCAACGCATGCATACGTGCGCATATCTATAGCTTAAAGTACATACATACAAACCTATGTACATACAGAGAAGGTGTTGTCAGTTTTATGACAGCTGCCTTGGGATTTCTTGCGGTCAGCTAAAATTGATTGGAGGAAAGAAAGTGTGTGGCAACGAACAAGTCCTTCCTTTACATATGTAAGTATATAAAAGCAGTACGTATTTTTATATAAATACATATGTATATGAATCAGGAGTCATTTTAAAATGTGGTTGTCTTCTCGATGCCGGAAAGCCAGAGTGAATCGCGAAAGCAGATAATCATGACTAATGTTGCCGCCGCGCGTTCGCGGCCCAAAGTAGGCTACATTATACAAATTTTTTTTTTCAGTCTGCAGCGAACATTAAATATGTTTGGAGCCATTGTTCATATATTTCACCTTGAAATTTTCACAGCTGCAGTCATTTTATTATTTTCAGTGCACTCTTAATTCGCAGCGTTTTTTTTTAGGTAAAATTTATTTGCTCGACTGAAATTGTATGCTGCCTGAATATCTGCAAGCAAAGTATATACTATATTTAGTAAGTATATGCATACACAGGCTACGTTTATTAAAGCATCTAAAATTTAGGGCGTACAAATTTTCAGCTGCTTTATTTTGCCACTTTTTGTTGTTTGTTGGCTTGCGCATACAACAATGATTTATTACTGTTTGCGGGCCATGACAAGCGACATGACAACAAAATAAGCCTAAGAACATATTTACAAATAACGTCACCTGCTAAATTTTCTCTAAATGGAACGAAAATATATTCATTGTAGCATACTTCTGTGCGCTGGAGATAATTTTTTTGCTATTACTTAAGTTCGCTTTGTTCTGTATTCTTTTGATTGACGTAGAGCAGGGAAGTGTGATTTTGTGTGCTTTGCGTAAAATGATAAAATATATTTTTCTCATTTAAAGGACTAAAATTAAATTTAAACTTCAAGTACTGAAAAAAGATAATCCTTCCGCGAGTGATGAGGCCACTTTCGGTTCAACTGTTATCGTTTTACTTCAAATTCAGGGTTGTCTATTTGGCTGCTTTCGTATCTCTCCTCATAGGTATATTCAATTTAAGAAAACGCATATGCTAATGTGTGTCAATGTGTCTCTATACATATGTACGTAGGTGTACCTGAAAAAAATTTAAATCTATTGCGAATTACCGCAACGCTGCCACTAGCACGGACGCACAAATGGACAAATGTAGAAATATGCAAGAAGTGCTCGTAAAACGTTGAAACTTTACTCCTATGACGAGGATTTCACGGTGATTTCTAAAATTAAATCGGTTTTTTCTACCGGTTACTAACTGCGAAAAATCAGATATTTTAGTACCGCTTACCAATTCCTTAAAAAGCGGAGTGGTCGCAGCCATTTTTTAATTTAGGAAACTTTTATTTTGCATAAAGATTTCTCTTTATATCAGTTTAGTAATTATTGAAATTTCGCAGCTTCCATTTTTTTTCTGAAAAATACTGTGCGCGGTTATTAACCGATTTAAAAAAATTTTCCAAAACTTTTCGTAGTAATACCATGAATCATACGTTTATCAATATTATAAAGAGATTCATTGAATGATTTTTGCAATTCAAAGAATCCATTAATCGTGGGAGTGGCGAGTAACCAATTTTTAACAATTTAATATGAATAAACCATAAGAACATTTGTTCAAAAATTTTTAAATTCGTTTTTGCTCTTTATACATATATTTAGAAAATGGGCGGAGCCACTCCGCTTTTTACGAAATTGGTAACCGGTACTAAAAATTCGGATTTTTCAAAATTGGTAACCGGTGCAAAAAAGCGACTTCATTTTTGAAAAAAACCATAAAAAAAACTCCCCCAATTCACTAAAAATGTACTGGTACGAATGTACATATGTATGTAACCCCTGAACTTTCCTGTATATGTATAAGTAAGTATGAACATTTGCGCTTATGTAACAGTTACGTCATATCTACAGCAATGTGTCACCGCATTTAAGCGCAGGAGAGAAAGTTTCCACTCAAAATTTAGATAAACACGAATTTTGCATAAAAATAGTTGCAGAAAACTATGAAAAAAAAAGATAAAATGGAAAACTATCCATAAAAAGTTTGCGCAGCAGCAAGTATGCTACAATAACACTAGATTGTACGTACCCGTCAAAAAGTTTCATTTTCCGTATAATATTTCCGCTTTACAAATTTTAGATTAAGGCAACGCCAATGCAAACCTTGCTCCTGCATATTTACATACTTGAAAGAAAATAAATGTAAATAGTTTAATGCTAAAATTTAGTAAGCGTAAAATTTTAGTTTTGTTAGTGTAGTATATTTTTAGGCACCCCTAAATTATGGGGAAAATGGCTTTTGCTTTCGCTTGCAACGTTCGTGGTTATTCATCGTTAAGTCTTTGCTAATTGCAAAATGTCGCTTTCACTTTCTTATTTAGCTAGCTAACTGCTCTGCTGCAGAAAGCTCGACTTTGCGTAAAATACTTTTATATTGACAAATTTCATAATTCTCAGAAAATTTGCTTTGGAAACTTTGCTTTTTCGTGTGGACACATTCAGTTGGAATAATTGCAGTGACATTTGGAAGAGGGTAGCGGTTTTATGTTCTAATTTTTAAAAGTAATTTATTTAGCTCAAATACAAATATACCCTTGATATACATAAGTCAAATTTTGCATTTTGAATACTTTACGTGAAATATCTATTACTTTATGCTAAATATATTTTTAGCGGCAATTTGTAAAACGCAGTTTCATTCATAATATATGAGCTAATATATATTTTACTTATTGTTAAATACAAATTATATCATTACAGTATTTTATTCGCATTTGTAAATTTCTA